ATAATAAAAATGCCAGTGGAAAAATCGTTAAATGTACATTGTTTCCCAAAGTTTTTCGAGGAGAACCTTTTATATGTACGGGTAAAACGGGATGGGTTTGAGGCTATGTTGTGCGAAATGTACGACATTTTATGTTCGCTTCATGGTAAAACGACAAGGCATGACGGAAATCTTAGATGTCTTATGTCTAAAAATAGGAATTTTAGTCAGATTTATACCGGAAAACTTTGCAATGGATTATGAAATCGAATTAAAAAAATACGGATTTGACTATTTTTTTCAAACTCGTGCAGAAGCAAGTCATGCTTGGCCACAGACGTTGGCTTCGCTGTTGGATGTCTGAAGTAAAAGTTTAGAGGACCTGCTTTATGAAATTTGGCGAAATACGTAAGCTGGGAAGGCCTACCCCACCCGACGAAAAAACTGTCAAAAGTTTTGTCAGGCGGACAGGGTGTGTGTAATCGACTGAGGAAAGGCTACCAAGAAAGTGTTGTTCAGCAAGCAGGTGAATGAAAGGATAAAGTATGGACCGCATGCATTGGTTAGATCTTTTAGCGATTTTCCTTGCACAAGTGTGCAATTGAGCGCGCATTTTGAGAGACGTCGTAGTTTGTTGAAGGCCCAGGTCATGGCAGACTCCGTGCGAGCGGACTGTAGAATTCCTTGCCAGACGAGCGACGCGTATAAGCCAAAATATATTTCGGTGTATATACGGTACAATTGATAGAATAAGGTAATAATGGAAAACGCACAAGCCTCCACAATGGATACCCTAGACAAAGAATTCCTTTGTTACTGTTCGAGCAAATCGAATTCCCAGCTCAAGGTCAGAATGCAAAACTTGTAAACTAAATAAACGTCGACCACGCTCGAAAAACGGTTACAAAAAGGAGGAAGCGGAATGTCAACAGGGGGCCAAATGTAGAAGCACTTAAGAGGAGGGCGTGGATAATTCCGGACGTTGACTGGCCGCCAATGCTCCACTTTCGGTTCTTGAAAAACGACCTGCGTGTTTGGAGGTAGGCGGCTGCTTTGACCCTCAAGTAGACAAATCTTTCTAACGCCCCTTTTTAAGAGACCGCCCGCCGTTCTAATACATGCCGTCCTACCAAGGCCATCGCGACTCCTTTCGCAAGTATCTATTACTCTCACAGACCAATTCTCACGAGGTGTGTGCTCCCTAGAAACTAAAAGAACATCACCTGGTTTTAGTTCCGCGGCCTCTCTAGTCCATTTTCTTCTCTTCTGCAGACTTGGGAGACGTTCTTTTACCCATCGTCACCAGAACACGCCAGCGAGGTAGTGTACTTGTTTCCATCCAACGTGGTACGGTGCCACCAGTTCGTCACCGCAAGGCAACACTGGACAGTTACTGATAAAGAATAAGCAATTCAGGGTAAGCGGTTCCACGTCGTTGCTGTCTGATGTTAGAGGGACAAGCGGTCTATTATTTAATATACGTTCAGACTGCCCGAGCTGTTTGTCAGTTAGTGACCGCTCCATACAGAGACTCAAAACGTAGCGGGTTCGCAACTGCCCCCCAGCCCTCATATCGAGGCAGTTAGGCCGAATATGCCGATTTTCCCACCGTTTAATAGACCTCTTGTTCCAATGGAAACAATGCGTCCCCCACCCCCTAACTTGTTTCCTCCACGGCCGTTTTACCAATTTATTCCTCATGATAATGTCCATACTGAATCAGTTAATCCATCCGATCCTCAGATTCGTCCCGGCGGGAATACGTTGCAGTATCTGCCCCGCGGATTTCCAGCTGAAAAAAAGTTAGCTAACAATAGTTACCAGTTTACCTGCCCGTCATTCCCTCCCCCAAGTCCTACCCTTTTTTATCCACGTCAGAATTTTTTGATGTCACAAAATTTTTTGCAGAACCGGATGGTTGCATCCGGACCGTTTGCTCCGTGGGCGACCCAGAACTGGACGATGTAGCCCACCTCCCTCAAAAACTAACAGCCTTTCCCTTCAAACTTTTTGTTTTAAATGCCAGATCCTTNAAAGCACGTAGAACGACCGGGTTTATCCTCCGAAATTTTAAAACTAGGGACATTAGAATGCGCCTTTTCAACATGTACGTTAGACCTGGTCTGGAATACTGTTCGTTTTCATTTAGCCTCATGCGTGCTACTGAGCGGAAGAAGATAGAATCCGTTCAACACTTTTTTACTAAGAGAATTTTAACCCCGGAACACCGACATTTGTCTTACCAAGAACGTTGCCGGCTTACAGGCCTCGATCCTTTATGGTTCCGTAGATTACAAAAGGGACTATTTTTGCTATTTAAACTCTTATATAATCACACATTTAACCCGCTCACCTCTTTAAGACATCATATCCACCCACGACGTAACAGTCACCGTGAGGTCTTCTTATTTCTGCCTCTGGCACGTACTGTTAAATATCGTCGGTTCTTTTCTGTAAATGCAATTGCTATTTGGAATAAACTACCCATGAGTGTGAAAACTCTGCAAAATTTTCCTTTATTTAAGAGAACTATTACTCGATTTTTGCATTCAGAAAAGCTCCCACAAAGTTTGGGTGCTGAATCTACTGATCGACTGTACCGTAGCGATGGCGTTTGTGGCCTCTGAACACTATGGCCGGTGTCACCAGCTGTTCCTCAACGCCTCTACTTTGACTATCCCCAACTTCATGAAAGGAATTTACCGTCCGATAATCTCCGATACCGTGCAACCTCCCCCCTTCTTGACGGTCGATATTCTACCACCGCCGACAGTTTTTTTTCTCCTGAGCCCTCCAAACCACAAAAACCACCATCAACTATATTTTTATGCCTTATGCTCAGGAGTTTTTTTTTTCACTGCTGGTCGGATTTGTGTTTAATCGCTTCCCTTGACAATGCCTGTAAACTGGCATTAAATTAAAATTTATTTATTTATTTATTTAAGAAGAATCCGTCGTAGAGACCTGATCATTCAATTTTATATTAAAAAACGTTGTTAAGAGTAGATAGCCAATAGATGTCGCTTTTCATTTCCTTTATTCATGCGGCTTCAACGTTAGGGTCGCTGAAGCCTAAAGGGTTTCATCTAGGAGCAAGAATCCACCAATTCTCGTCAAACACTTTACGTCGATAGAAGTGGAGTTTATTATCTCCCTTTTGGAGCGCTCCATTTAATATCTCAGGGGAAATAAATTTTTTATTAGTCGAGATCAAACTCCACTGCAACGATGAGTTTCTCCCCCAATAACAAACGTAAAACCACCCCCGAATTTTACTCATATGCCTTTTGCCTCTAAAGCAGTTTCTCCATCTGGTGTCGATCAAATCTGCCCACTATCTACCGCGGCCCCTGTTCCATATTGCTCTTCGACTGATCACATTATCACAGAGACAGTTAAAGTTAGCCTCTTTAAAACTCCCCCACGAAGCAAGGATTGTTCAAATTTGAATCACAAATTTACAAGGGAGCTTGATTTTAACAGTAAAGATGAGCCAGTCCTTAAAGCACAACCGACACCTAACACTTAGAATAGTTATTTAATTAATAAACTTACATCGAATCCACCCCGTTCCCACGCCTGGCCACTCAGGTCTGAACACGTGGTTAGGTCCAATAAGCTAGATGATAGTTCAGGGAGATCTTATAGCGGCCTACCCTCACCCACTAGCCCCTTCTTTCCTTTTAGGCTCCCTCCTCCTCCCCTTCCTCCTTAATTTAACTAGCAACAAGTCCATCCATGTTCTAATTCCCCTAGCATTCCAATCTTTAAAAACCATTTCCCACATCCTATAGATCTCATACTCAGCCTTCTCTTGCTGACTCCCCGTACGTCAATAACTGTAGACTAACTGGTTCTTATTTTCTAAGTGTCATTAATTCACAACTTACATATCCGCCTCCAAAGATTTTTAAAATACCGTAGAAAATAGCATTGCCATTCGAAACACAATAGATATTATATCATTGAATGCCAGGTCTGTTATGAACAAGATGGCCCAAATCAGAGTCATTGCTCTGGAAATGACGCCTGATATTATATGTAAAACAGAATCTTGGACCCATTCTCTAATTTCTGACTCTGCCCTTCTCATAGATGACTTCGATTTTTACCGCAAAGACCACAGGACTAGGCTTGGATGTGGTTGTCTTCTTTATCTTCAATCTTACCTAAAGCACTCTCCATATTACTTCGATGTTTCCTCATTCACGGGAAACTTCTGCTTTGAATCTGTTATTCTCCCGCCGCAAAGAAAGGCAAGTAGTGGTTGTATCTACAATCGCCCAGTGATGATTCTCTTTCGCCAGTGATGATTCGCCGGTGATGATTCACAACTCTGTGAAATCTTTAAAGTAATTTCGGAAGCTGCTTTCTCTCGCCAGTGATGATTCACCACTATGTGAAATCTTTAAATTAATTTCGGAAGCTGCTTTCGATGTTAAAATAATCACTGGGGATTTTAACCTTCCTAAAATAGACTGAGTTTCCAATAGCTGTCCACCCAGATTCCAGCCCTTTCAATATATTGTCAATTTATCTAATTGGTCCCAACTGGTGCGCTCTCCAACAAGAGATAATCACATTTTAGACCTAATCTTTACCAATGACATTGCTCCTCTTTCGGTTGCTTTAAAAAGGACCTCTTTGACAGTGACCACGCATTAATTCATTGTTGCTTACCGCTTGCCTTTTAAAAGAAAAGACGACCGCCGTTCGGACTTACGTGAACTACGACTGCGAAGATAACGACTTAAAAATGACTATATTGGATTTTTGGATTCGTGTAGCTTCCACTCCTGTAGAGATGCAACCATTCTTCGTGATGTCATGTCCAACGTTTCCTAGGACATTTTAGAATTTGTGCCGCGTAGATATCTCAAGGCTCTTTCTTCAGATCCCCTTGTTCCTAATTTTCTTCAGAACAGACTAAAAAAAAGTTGAGGCGAAAGCTGCGTGATCCATCCACTATTTCCTTATCTGTTCATCTTACAATCAAAGAGATTTTTGAGATGGTCTTAACGATGCGCCAAGCGCGCGACAGGCAAAGAGAATCAATTGCTCTCAGTGGTTCGAACCCTGGCAAATCTGTCGCTAACATCTTCCGTCATCGGTCCTCCTCTAAGCGTGGTCACGAACTTCCACCCATGCTTAATGATAACAAAGTCTTCCTCACCGATGACACTGACAAGGCGGAGTTGTTTAGTGCTTTCTTTGCAAAACACCTTGATACCGAGTCCGATCCGGTCCCTTTCTTTCGATCACCTTCAGGTAGGACACTGAGTACAATTGATGTCTCCTCAGATCTCATTAAGAAACACATAAGCCGTTTGAAATACTCACACTGCTCAGGAACGGACGGGATTCCGAATCCGATTATTAAACAAGCGTCCGACCTTCCCATATTGCTCAGTCATTTATTCTCGGTTTATATTTCAAAAGGATTCTTTCCTGAAACATGGAAAACGTCAATTATCATTCCGGTCTTCGAGTCAGGATCTCGGTCCGATGTTAATAAATATCTGGGCGTGCACAAAACGCCGTCTCTAGCGAAACTTCTTGAAAGAATAAGTTTCAATGAAATTCTTGTCTTCTGTATAGCTTATCGGCTTCTGAGGTCTAGATAGTATGGAATTTACCTGGAAGTTCCCGCAAAACATGTCACTTGGCTTTTCGTAATCTAATCACTTCTCTTCGTAATGAGCGGCAGTCCGTGGTAGTTATTTACTTTGATCTTAGCAAAGCCTATGTCAAGGTAAACCGTAGACGTCTTTTAGTAAAATTGGAAGCTCTCGGAATCCGGCTGCCTCTACTCGATTTCATCAGGTTCTATCCGTCCAACCAATATCAGAAAGTCATGGTCGGTAATAGCTACTCGACACGCCACTCGATCACGAGTGGCGTACTTCAAGACACGGTTGTGGGTCCGCTAATCTTCCTTCTGTACATCAATGATATTTCGACTGAACTCGCTAATTCGCAAACTTTTACTTATGCCGATGACCTCAAGTGTGCATACTCATACTCTAAGGACACCGCAAATGTTTGTGTGGAAAACATTAATGCCGATTTACTACGCTTAAGCAGAAGGGGTTCGACATGGCAGATGGAGTTTTCATCATCCAAGTGTAGTTTCATGTCTTTGGACCTACCAAACTTCCTGGTCCCATAATTTTTCAAGATAAGCCACTCTCAGAATGCCTCACCATAAAGGAACGAGGTCTTAGTTATACAAATAAACTTGCTTTATCACCTCATGCAGATAGAATCTCTGCCAAAGCCGCGCAGATATGTGGATTCATATCGCATAAGTTTTTTTATCCGGAAATGAAGCTAAGACTTTATCAAATGTTTGTTCTTCCAGTCCTCGAATATTGCTGTCCTTTCTTCGGTTTAATGAACGCCTGCGACCGTAATAAAATCGAAAATGTTCAGAGGGTTTTCATCCGTAAACTTTTCTCTGAAGCTTCGTAACGTATTTCTTATACTCAGAGATGTCGGCTGGCGAACATTAAGTTTTTGTGGGTAAAAAGACTCGAAGCTGGCCTTTGCTTCCTTTTTCGCATCAACTCTAGTTCCTGTCTTCCGCACATTGACACTCTCACTCCGAGAGATCGGTCTTATGCCACGCGCAACTCCTGCATGGTGGTTCCGCCGCCTCTATATACTACATCTAAGCGCCCCCTCTTCTTTGCTTCAAAATATGCCTTCCTTTGGAGCAATCATCCACCTGAAATTAGAGTATCGCCAAATTTACTGGTATTTAAGTCAAAATTACGCAAACATTTTACACCGGAAAGCAAAAAACGCACTGTTAACGGTCTCATTCCCGAACACTCAGATTCTTGACTTCGAGAAGGGTCCTCCTTGTATTTAGTGGTAGATTAAGTGGTAACTCTAAATCCACTGCCATAACTCCTCTCCATACCGAAAATTTACGCGATTTTAGATGTCATCTCCTGCATTCCGACCTCATGCGGTCTGTTGATGCTCACAGCGGAACCCACAGTATTTGCCGTCTACTAGTAGTTTGGTCGTACCTCCCTTCCCCACTGCTCGGCTGAGCTCGAAGCGTGATGTGGCCGATCGCATATGGGTTCCTATCGTCTGACATCTTTGACGCGAACAGTCTCATGCGGCGTATAAATCCGGTCCAGACGATGTCAATTGTGAAGCCCGTGTACAATACCACTTGCAGGCCAGTCCTGTCAGACCCGCATACGTACCCCTCAAGGCTGACATTTATTGATAACCTGACGATGACCGACAACAATCCGTTCTATACCGCCACCTACAAGTCAGTCCTGCTCGCTTTTTTCTGTCATTATTTTTATTGAAGGTTTTTTTTCTCCTGTAAAATTAATCCAATCATTTTAAACTTTTTGTACAGAGCTTTTTTTCGCCCCTCACTAATCATGTTTCTCAATGGACTACTAATTCAGAAACTACGAATTGCATTTTGTAAAGTTTCTGCCTACCTCGTCTAAAACTCGCATGTAAATTTATTTTAACTTGCTTTGATGGGACACGGACGGGTCTTTAATAAAAATTATCTATCTATCTTTTTGTTCCCAGATGCCTTCCCGATGGCTGGCAGCGGGCGGGTTAAAATGCCACTGTGTCTCTAGAGTTAGCAGTTGGTCCGGCATTCTCTTTTGTTCCCAATTGTGTAAGTCCTTTCGTCATTCTGCTACCGCTCCAACAAAATTTGTTCCGTTTTTACTGTAGCTGTCAGGGGGACGTCCGCGTATACTAACGAATTTCATCAGACACTAAACAAAAGTATTCGTAGTCAGGCTGGCGGATATCTTAAGATGAACGGCTCTCGTCTGTAAGCAGCTAAACACACAACCATAGTGTTTCTCTGACAATCGTCTACGTTTGACCATCAACGGACCAAACTGGTCAGCCCCAACGCACTTGAAAGCAAACCAACCGATTTTTGTTCTATTTAAGGGAAGTGGGGACATAATATGCCACTGAACTTCTCGAAAGTTGCGTCCTCAAAGTAAACATATACCGATGTTGCCGGATTGTACCTAGAACTTTGACTGTCCCACAATGGCATTCCAATTCATGAAAGTATTGTATGATTATTCCCGTCACGGGATGATCGTATGGGGGATTGACGGGTGTTTGAACGACTCACAAACTTATGAGTTGTTCAGGCGACCACCAATGCAAATTTCTCCTTCAATCAAAACCGGACATAACTTTCTCGTGACAACATTTCTTACAAAATTCGTTTTCTGGTAATCTTCTGGTGTGGACTGCAGAATCTTCAATTCTTCCGAAAAATGCTTCCTTTGTATAAGCTTTATCAAGCCAATGCTAGCTTGGCGCATTTCGGATACTCGGATAGGACCCAACATCAGCGTCTCCTGAGGTGCCTTGCCAGTTGTGACACTGACGTACTGCTTGAAACCCAGGAGCCAGACCACAGCCCTTTGCAACTTGAAAAACGCATAACTAATTCATCCAAAGCATCACATTGATTAAATAAATGAACTTGGGCTGTTATCCTATTGAATTCCAAGTCTTCGGGTTGTCCTATGGGAGGTTATACAAGACATTCGCCTTGAGGGTGAATTAAATATTCCGAATCGTCCAACCATCTACGTACCCGCGCAAAGTTTCACGTACCTCGAGAAGCAATGTCTGCTGGGTTGACGTCCTAACTCACGTATCTACAATAAGAGGTCGCAGACAGATCATTTATAACCCTCAGTCGGTTGGCCACAAATGTGCAGAACCTGGTTGATTGATTGTGTTTATGAAAACGGACTATTATAGAATCGGTCCATAACGTTATTGTTTGGAAGTACCTATCGGTGCTTGAGCCGATGAGATCAGCCACGCGCACAGTCAGAGTAGCAGTTATCAACTCTAAACGTGGTATTGATACGGCTTTGAGGGGGACAAAGCGTGCTTTCGAATAATCAAGTGAACTATGTAGATTTCCTGTGTAGTAAATAAAGCGAGCATATGCTACTGCACTGTATGCTACTTCCGAGGCATCGCAAAACACGTGCAGTTCGACTCGTATCGGATCGCTGATATCTTTGGGCTTTATACATCGGCCCAACTGAATAGTCTTCAGCCTCCGTAAATTAAAGATTCAGTTGTCCCAACGAGAGCTCTCGATGCCAGATAGCTGTTCCTCCCAATTCAGTCCGTTTTTGCATAAGGATTGCAGTAACCACTTCCCAGGTATCAGCCAAGGCGAAACAAATCCCAGAGGGTCATACAGTGAGGATAAACATAACATACTACCCCTACGAGTAGACGGTTTTGCGGGCCTATTGAAACTTATCATCAGAATATGGGAATGCTTATTCAACTGCAACCTCAAAGTTCGTTCAGTAGGTAGGGAGTTGACGGCATTACCTCGCATAACAGAAGAACATTCAGTCGCACTAACGACCGAGAGTATACGCCGGTCATTAGAAGACCAGTTTCGAATACGAAAGCCGCCTTTAGAGGGAAGTTTACAAATTTCGTCCACAAAACGTTTGGCGGAATCGACATCACATAACGAAAGTAGACAATCATTAACGTATATACTCTGGTGAATCGCTCTGCAAGTTGATGAACAGTAAGATGAACCGAAACCTTCAACAGTTTTTTATAACGCAAAGATGGCACCAAAGGGCGAAGAAGTCAATCTGAATAGGTCAGTTGTCCACTGAAACTCAACTGGCTCTCCTTCAAGCTTGTCATTTTCCCACCACAAAAATTTCCTAACAGGTATATCAATCGGGTCCACTTTCACTTGCAGCAACATTTTCTCTATATCCCCTGTCACTGCAGTACGCTCAAGCCAGAAACCCAACAACACACTTACTAGCTTAGCGTTTAGGTCTGATACTTGGTATAGACTGTCATTCAGAGACATGCCCTGACACTTGGCAGCACAGTCAATTACAACACGAATTTTTTCTGGTTTTCGGGGTTTGACAAAGGGGTGGTGTGGTAAGTGTCTTGTAACTGGAAACGCTTTGTTGCGGTCAACTCGCTCGATGCATCCCTTCTTCATGTACGAACGGAATGTTTGCTCATATTTCCGAAGTAATTCGGGATCTCGGCCCAACTTGCTCTTGAGATAGATAAGTCGTTTACGCGCCAATTGGAAATTGTCCGGTAAATTCAGCGTACTGTTGCACCAAGGGAGTGGCAGTTGGTAATGCCCTTTTATGCTTCTAACGGAAGATCGCACAATAACCAGTGCCAATTTGTCCTCCAATGAGTAACTCGCAGTCATTGTTGAAGTGTCCGAAAACTCCGAGTCGTATAGCCTCTTAATTTAGTGCGTTACATCCTTTTATTGATCTGCAATGTATTGACAGACAGCGCTCTGTTAAGACCTAAGCAGCATCCAGCCCAGCAGTGTTTTTACGGCAAACGGCTCCCTTTTGCCGCCCAGACGTTGGTCGAGTACCCAATGAGCTTTTGCGATATTATTCCCAATGAGTATGCCAACCTCGCAAGCAGTGTGTTCGTCGAACGTTATACCGCTCAGGTATGGCCACGAAGAGGCTATCCTTTTAATTGTCGATTATGCACGAAGTGGCAAGTCTTCGGCAACCAAAGCCCTTTCAATCTCCACTGAACGGTTCAATTTATGGACAGCAACCTTAGACTTCTGACTTCCGAGTTACATTTGATTGAACCGCCTAAGGTGTTTATTGTCAATGTTGTTGACGTTGTTAACACTCCATTTCCGCCGAGAAGCTTTCGTTTAATCAGAGTGACATCCGAACTACTGTCCAAAATGCGTAAGTTTCGACGTTTCCTGTCGGACTTGCCAACTTGACAGGAATAACCCCCAGTCGTGAAGGTACATGCGTAATTCCAGTCAGGGCACAAAGCCCTTCATCATGTAATATTTGCTGATTATTTTCCGAGAATATTACATGTAAAAGCGTATTATGTCGTTTTTTTGCCACCGGAAAGGCCACAAACTTCTCCGGTGCTGCACACCTTGGCAAAATGCGCATTACCAAGACAAAAAACACGCTTTGTCTCGCAGCAGGCAATTCCAACGATCAGAGACACTCATTAAAATTAAACAGGGGCACATTCCCACTTCATGTGCACTAGAACATATGTAACATGGACGTTGATCTGGTTCGACACTCGAAATGGTAAAACTGTTAAGGTTCTGCCGTTTTCGATAAATAAATAAATAAATAAATTTTAATTTAATGCCAGTTTACAGGCATTGTCAAGGGAAGCGATTAAACACAAATCCGACCAGCAGTGAAAAAAAAAACTCCTGAGCATAAGGCATAAAAATATAGTTGATGGTGGTTTTTGTGGTTTGGAGGGCTCAGGAGAAAAAAAACTGTCGGCGGTGGTAGAATATCGACCGTCAAGAAGGGGGGAGGTTGCACGGTATCGGAGATTATCGGACGGCAAATTCCTTTCATGAAGTTGGGGATAGTCAAAGTAGAGGCGTTGAGGAACAGCTGGTGAGACCGGCCATAGTGTTCAGAGGCCACAAACGCCATCGCTACGGTACAGTCGATCAGTAGATTCAGCACCCAAAATTTGTGGGAGCTTTTCTGAATGCAAAAATCGAGTAATAGTTCTCTTAAATAAAGGAAAATTTTGCAGAGTTTTCACACTCATGGGTAGTTTATTCCAAATAGCAATTGCATTTACAGAAAAGAACCGACGATATTTAACAGTACGTGCCAGAGGCAGAAATAAGAAGACCTCACGGTGACTGTTACGTCGTGGGTGGATATGATGTCTTAAAGAGGTGAGTGGGTTAAATGTGTGATTATATAAGAGTTTAAATAGCAACAATAGTCCCTTTTGTAATCTACGGAACCATAAAGGATCGAGGCCTGTAAGCCGGCAACGTTCTTGGTAAGGCAAATGTCGGTGTTCTGGGGTTAAAATTCTCTTAGTAAAAAAGTGTTGAACGGATTCAATTTTCTTCCGCTCAGTAGCACGCATGAGGCTAAATGAAAACGAACAGTATTCCAGACCAGGTCTAACGTACATGTTGAAAAGGCGCATTCTAATGTCCCTAGTTTTAAAATTTCGGAGGATAAACCCGGTCGTTCTACGTGCTTTGGAGACTATCAAGGCACAGTGCTCCGAGAGATTAAGACTCTTGGAGTATGATACGCCCAAATCCTTTATAACCCCTGGCACATTTATTGCGTGACCTTCAATACTTAGTTGAGGATGACGGTCGTCGCCAACCACCATGACTGAGCACTTATGCCAGGAAAGAGAAAGGCGCCATGTGCGGCACCACTGGGCGAAAGCCTGTAGATCGCTCTTTAGGAGCTCAAGCATGATGCCATGATCTGCCGGCTTATATCGATATGCAACTTTAAGATCATCGGCATACATGTTGCGCTGTGGCAATAAAGGGATGTTGAGAGCGCGTGCTATCCCCGACTCGAGATATTTGTACGAAACGGCATCTTGATGTCCAAGCACGAGTATTTACGAATTCCGTAAGGTCTGCAAAATACGGATCTCTATCATTCATAGATAATTTGTCAGCAACTTCATTCCATTGAATTTGCATAAAAAACGGTAAACAGTGCACTATTCGCTCTAGGACATTCAGCGATTTTTGATCCGAAACGTTGTTCATTTGCGAGAGCGCTATTTCACAACTTCTTATTTTCACGCACAAATCGGAAAGTGCCTTTGCAGTCTGCTTAACATGGCGTCCAAAAGGGCATTAACCACCCCATGTACCTGGCCAAATAAGCTGCCCAATATTTCCCGTTCTTTTGAATAAGCCAAAGGTAAGGGAAGCATGACGCACTCTTCTATGGCTGCTCTCGCTTCACCTCTGCAATAGTGAATCATGTACAGCATCCTCTGTCCAGCATCTTCAACTTTGCTTTCTACGTACACTTCAAACTCTCGTATAAACTTCTAATAATGAACTGGATTCCTGTCAAACCAGTACAACTTAACCTTGGGCAGTTATAAACTGACAACTTGCAGGCTCCTAGCGCTTGCTTTGGGTATATCAGCATTCTCGCGTTGGCAAGGATCGCTCTCTTCAAGAGAAATTTCATCCAATGTGCATTGTTTCAAATATCCCGAGACCTGCGCGACGGAATCCATGGGTTAAAGGTCGTCATTGGACATCTCTTCATCGGTCTCTACCTCTATCCTTGAAAGGTCTGTTCATCTCTCGGCATCAAAAATAGCACGTTGGAGATCCACCTCACGTTTTACTCGCATCTCTTCCATTCCGGCTATTTTTAAGGCTTTAACTGTTTTATTGGAACTACGACTACTAATAGAAACGTCTTACAAGAGTCGAACTGGACGACTTTCTTCAGCTCTCCTTGTCCTTCGAAGGCGCCCGGTTTGTCTAGTCCGAGAGACTGTTCCATACCGCCCGATTCATTCTTCATGATACGCGTCTGCATTTGATGAAATTAATTTCCTCCAGTTTATGGTATGCTGTAAAATACTGTAGAGTTCCTCGTCAGACAAGTGAAGCGTATAAACCAAAACAGATTTCGCTGTATATACGGTAATATTGATAGAATAAGATAATAATGAAGAACAAACAAACTTCAACAATGGATACCCGAGACAAAGGATTCCTTTGTTACTGTTCGAGCAAATCGAATTCCCAGCTCAAGGTCAGGATACAAAACTTGTTAATTAAAAGAACGCCGATCACTTTAAAAAAGGGTTACAAAAAGGGGGATGGGGAATGTCAACAGGGGCCAAATGTGGCAGCAATTAAGAGGAGGGCGTAGAGAATCCCAAGCGTTGACCAGCTGGATACAACACGGACAATACATACGTTCGTTAGGGGCTTACTAATACCCTCTGAAGGTGCCTGTGATCCCTTGCGTTCATCTGACTGGAACTGCTGCAACAACCGGAGCGACGTCTTGATAATATAAGGTTGCCTTTCCCCTACGATATAAATAGTCGCAAAATCCCTAGGAAGCAAGTGACTCTAAATTCACTTGTGGTATTCACGTTTTCCGCGTATTCCGTACCTAGAATTCGCTAAGTCATGAAAAATCTCGACTAGTAGTCATAACGAAGCTCCTATTTATATAACCACGACAATTTTGATGACGATGGTTTGCGCCAGGCCCACAATTAGAGTATACTTTGGAATATCAAGATCTACTGGTGAGACAATTGATTCTTCTTCTGCTTATCGATAAGACTCGGAAGCTCAAGGGCGAACGCCTCCTCCCCTTAATTAACTGACCTAATTTAAATACATACTCAATATAGGCATTTGCCGTTCTGATAAGTAACTCGAAACAAGGAACGACTTTGGGTAACCGTCGATTCCGGTTTCTGTAGCGATCACGTAGTATACTCTCACGTTCCGCTTGATGCGTCTGGATGTGAGTTCTTGAAGTTCCATGAATGGTTATGTACCGCTAACCCCGAAAATACCACAATCTAAACTTCAGTCTCTAACTTTTATAAATCATTTTTGCAAATGCTGGTAATAATTTGTCTCGGAATTCTGGTCTTCAGCTGAAAATGAACTGTGAATTTGTGCTTTATTCTCTAAGCAAATACCCAAAACGAATGAAGTCGAAGCGAATGAGTTTGGTTTTGGTTTTTACCTGTTCAGAAGGGACTGATGGTGCCCGAGAGGTGCTCCAGTAACATAATCCTATTCTGTTGTATATGGTGCTTCGCTGTTTTGCACGGCCATTACGCTTTTTCGTTACTATCGATAAGTAGGCGAAAGCGATATAAAAGGGCGAAACTGCAACCCCAACACTAAGACTGCTACGAGAATTATGGTCTGACTGTCATAACTACCGTGGCTGTCAAATTAACGAAGGAAGTAATAATGAACTAGAAAACAGCGCTGGCTTACGTATAACAGAAATCATGGATTTTGGCCTGTGTGGGCTGTGTTGGCACCCACACAATGCGCACGCAACCGACCCGGGCCATAAGTTCTCTCCAAAGGATCAAATTTACCGATGCCATGTTAACGCATGTCTACGATTTTTTACAGGAATGTCATTTATTAAGAAAAACAACTTGTTTTACAGTAAAAGGGACACACAGACACTAGATATTGTCAAGTCTGCCAATAAAGTTGACACATAGGTAGCCAAAGACCCCTCTCGTCCCAACGTGTTAGGGGGGCAAGTGTTGTAGAGACAATAAAAACTACTGTAAACTATGGTCTTGAAGCAATATTGTTCAATATCACAACAATTTCCAACTTGCTCACCTTTTGCTGTTACGCTAACCGATTTTTATAAGGCGTAAAAAAACTTCGGCCTTCGTTTGACTTAGTAACTTTGATCAACTCACGGAGGTAAACCGCCTTTTATTCGTCCTTGTCGAGAATATAAACGCGGTAATATGAAAACGGTTCGTGAGCTTCCAATTCAGGAAAAAGGATGCTGAGGGAGAAATGGATAACCTTATTCGCCACATTCGTGACTATTGTTGAGTGCTTTTGTCAAGACGAGATCGGTAAGCAAGCAAGAACTTCAAAGTTACTGCGTTCTAACATAAATACCTAAAAGTAGAATGTCAATCATGATTGATATATATAAACATATATGCATAAATACATATATATGCATATCAGTTGAAATTGGTAATATAAAATGCACGTACATGCAGATACAGTAGAATATAATACAAACGTATTTAATGTAAGCGAAGAATTGCTTTTAAGTTTTAAAGCCGTACAGATCAGAAAACCTGATAAAATTGCGCACTGGTTGTTCTCGAAATGTCGAACGTTTGGCTCAAAATGAGCTCGATTTCCAATTAGTACATCAGTCATTAATGCGCCTTTGCAGCATTTCGATTTTATTGCTGGACTTCGAAATAGGTAATAAGGAGCTCTAAACAGTAGGTAGGCCATGTTGGGTGATGCTGTCTAAAAAGTAAGAAACGCACAAAATTATAGCAATTGCTTGAATGATTTATACATGATTATAAATATGGATTCTATCAACACTCCAGTACATGCTTACTATCGGTGTCGTCGGCACCAGATTAAGCCGAAAGAAGCAAATATTCTATTAAATACAGTCACTAGAATGGCGAAATCAATGACAATGGCTGCAATGTGGAAAACATGGATAGTCGCGCGTGGGCACTTTATTACATGCAGCGATATTCTCCAAAAATATTCTCAAATGATAAAGTTTCTTTGCATCCAACACTTTGTTTACTAATGTTCAATCGATTCTCCTTTTAGTGAGGGATTTTCAGATCGTTACCAATGGACCAACTGAACTGAAGTTGACGTGGACATCGCAATTGTTGCCCGATCCTAACAGGGAACTTAGGGTCATGGTGAATGACCTCCTCAATGATGACTGCAAACACCCCCTTGATAAGACACCGGCCGAGTGCATAATTGACAACTTGGTGCCAAACACGGAGTATACGGTAGAGGTAAAGAACTGTCATTTGGCGGCAACGGATGTGAAGCAGTGTGTTCAGGCCTCTGAATTAAAGACGTCTTACACAAAACCCAAAGGTAGGCAGGCCATTGTTATACGCAACTGCATATTGCTATTTATTTCAAATCAATAGTTTGTCAGATGTCATAAGCAAATGAGCAGTGCAGGCAGGAAGACAAAAGATACATTTTACTATGTGTCATTCTAAAATTTAACGTTAGGAATCACCGCATGCCTATGTAAGTTGAATATTTAAGATTGTTCATTAGAGCGATTTATTTAGTTGCCCACCATTCGCTGTTTAATTACATGCAGAATATTTTTTAAAATATACCTGCGGGCAGTTTGCAGGAAATGCCAGCTGAAAGAATTAAAGACAGATTTTGCATGTTTTGATTTCAGCGCCTGACACATTCACAACGGAATCAATTGGCAATGACTTTATTGAAGTCTCCTGGGAAACTCCCAAGCAGAATTTTGAATGGCTTACGGTGTATGTAGTGGTGTGGAATGGAAGTTCTGCGCAATACGCGTACACCGATGCTTATGCGGGAAAAGCCACCGTTATTGTAAAAAATGTGAATGCAGAGACACCGTACAACGTGGCCCTGGTGATTGCTAATGAACGGACTAATTTATCTGACACTTGTCAGCACACGCCCGTGGTTGAGACGCGACCAAACTGTAAGTTTTCATATCGTGTAAAGAAAACTACATGTCGGTTGCCTACAGTCTACAAACCATATTTTAAATGGGGGGACAGCTGATCTTTATCAATTGTTTTTTATAAGGAATGTTTGTCATGAATCAATATCACATGTAGATGCTTTAGTGACGTCTGCGAGTGTAAAATCGGGCTGGCGGCAAATTTTATTTGGAATCTGTATGCAGTAGTCTAAGTTGTAATATGGTGTATAAAGTATCTTCACGCTAATAAGTCAATTAATAGTTTTGTGTGGTGGAACGTTCGTTCGCACTTGCAGCATTACTCACCGGATAAGACTGGCTAAATATGTGTACAGAATATGAACTAGTGTACCTGCATTCATAAGACTTCTTCATGGCAAGCAATTTGCACTGTTCAAGCGGATGTCGAAGTAGATTTCTTATTTTTACCGTACATCTATCAACTTATTCCTGTAGTTACGCCCAATTGTTTCATTAACTAAGCGTGACATCATAAAATGTGCCATCTAGGACTAATAAAAACGTTCTATACTATTCCACGGCGACTACTGAATGCTCGCGGATCATAGTACGAATTTATGATTTAAATTGACGTTTGGAATCAAAAATATAACATTAGGTTAAGCGAATGCAAACTGAAACTTTCGATCAAGTGGATGCTCCCAAGGGCAGGCAAAAAATCCATTGTCTTCAACGGGGACGCTTCCATATGAATAATTTATGTAAAGCATCTACCTACATAGTACATGGATTTGCACAAACTCGACCGCTGGGAGGATAGCTTATTATGTTTTTCTTATGTTTGATTGAAGACCCCGTTAAGCCTTTGACAAGGTGGTACAGGTAGCAATGAAACGGGCTTTGAAATGCCACCGCTATCTTTCAAACAGATTAAATTAGATTAAATTAAATATCTATTCTGGCCCCGCCGAATTAGCGGATTCTACGATAAATAAAGATACAGAATGCGTCATGCAAAGGGCTTGGTATTCCCAGCTTAATGATACGAGGGAGCAGTCAGTGTGAACATAAATATAAAACGCAATTTGAGGAATTTTTTTTCCAGTTAGCCCCCGACATCTATATCTTTTGCAGTGGTCGCATGAATGTGATGTAGGTTTTTCTATGTACGGCGCTGTATCTTAATCTTTTGCAGTGCCCGATCAAATTCATCTGTAATGACGCACCTGCGAATGATCGTAAATTGTCTTATGACTGCTGAGATGTGCTTTGCTATTCTTCGGCAGGTCGTCCTCTGAATTGCACTTTGCCGCGTGAGCTGACATTTATATTTGCTGTTTCGAGAAATCGTCGCAGCAATTTATGGCTGTACGACAGATGGCTTAGGGAGTCTGCGAGAAAGCAGATTCTGTGAACGGATACCGCGGTTGAGCATCACAAATGCGATCTTAAGCGATGAAAGATGTAGACGTCAGTTCAGGCAGCAAATGAGGAGAAGGGTAGTTTGTAAGCCAAAACGTGTCTCCCTGTTGTGTGTCCGGGTTTGGGACCCCATCAAACCTTACGTTATCATTACGCTTGAAGGTTAATTACCTGTCGATTACTTACGGTTTACAAATCATATTTTTAGTGGGTGGACCCCTAATGTAAATATATTTGTTTGAAGGAGAATGTTTGACATGGATCAATATCAAAAGTTGATGTTTTCGTGACGTCTACCAGTGTAATATCGGGCTGGCCGCAAATGTTATTTGGAATCTGAATGCAGTAAAGCTAAGTTGTAAAATGGTGTATTAAGTACCTTTAAGTAAATAGGTCAAATAATCGTTTGCTGCAGTGGAACGTTTGTTCGCAAACACTGCATTAATCGCTGGCTCAGTGCTTAAGCCGACGTCAGACACTGGCTAAATGTATGTGTACAGAATACGAACGGATGTGTAATGCATTCATAAGACTTCTAGATTGCAAGCGAATTAGACCGTTCAAGCGGACCTCACAGTATATTTCGCATTTTTGTGGAACAACCATCAACTAATTCCTGTGGTTACACCCGATTTCTTTCAATAAGCAATGGTGACATCATAAAAGGCAGCAACCAGGCTTACTAAAAATGTTCTATACTGCCGCTGGGCAAATGAAGGAGGAACTACAGAAATGCTTGCAGATCATACCACACAGCTGTGGTTTATACCGATTTTTAGAATCAAAAATAAAAAAAACTTAGTCAAATGAAAATATAACCACACTTTTCATCAACTGGATGCTTCCAAGCACGAGCAAAAAGACCTCTTATAGTTAACGTGGACGCCTTCATTTGAATAATTTAAGTGAAGCAAGCAGCTACTGAATACATAGATTTGTATAAAGTCAACTGTTATGAAGTATGAAGCGACAACATGCCAGGCTTTTCCATTATCGTATATGAACTTTGCATCCAAAACTCTGTTTACTAACGGTCACCTCATTCGTCTTTTAGTAAAGGACTTTCAGGTCGTTAACAATGGACCAACTGAACTGAAGTTGACGTGGACATCGCAATTGTTGCCCGATCCTAACAGGGAACTAAGGGTCATGGTGAATGACGACCTCAATGCTGACTGCAAACACCCCCTTGATGAGACACCGGTCGAGTGCATAATTGACAACTTGGTGCCAAACACGGAGTATGCGTTAGAGATAAAGAACTGTCCTTTGGCGGAAACAGATGCGACGCAGTGTGGGCTGGCCTCCGAATCAAAGAAGTCTTTTACAAGTCCCAAAGGTAGGCTTGCCATTGTTATACCAAACTGCATCTTGGCATTTATTTTAGGTCAATAAATTGCTAAATGTTATAAGCAACTGAGAAGTGTAGGTAGAAAGATATATGATAAATTATGCTGTGTGCTTTTTTAGATTTGACCTGAAGAAACATCCTATGTATCTGTTAAAGAGCAGACATTGCTTACTAGGCGAATTAAAATGTTTGTTCACTAGCTCGCTGTTTAATAAAAAACAGAATATTTTACAAAATATAGCTCCAAACAGTTTGCAGGAAACGCCCGCTGATAAAATTACAAACTAATCTGACCTGTTTTAATTTCAGCGCCTGACACATTTAAGATCGAATCAATCAGCAATGACTCGATTGTAGTCTCCTGGGACACTCCGCATCAGACTTCTGAAGGGCTTTCGGCATATGCAGTTGTGTGGAATGGTAATTCTGTGCAGGACGTGTCCCCCGATGACAATGAGCGGAAAGCCAACGTTGTTGTGAACCATTTGAATGCGACGACGCTGTACAACGTGACCGTCGTGGCTGCGAATGAACGAACCAATTTATCTGACACGTGTCCGCAGGTGTCCGTGGTCGAGAGCCCACCAAACCGTACGTTATCATCTCGTTTGACAGAGAACTACTTGAAAATTGCTTACGGTCTGCAAACTATATTATTCACGGGTGAACCGCAAATTAATAAAGATTGGTTTTTATGAAGACTGTTTGACATAAATCAATATCAAACGTAGATGATCTGATGTCGTCTGCCTGTGAACACCAGGGCCGGAAGCAAATTTTATTTGTAACATGGTGTATCAAATATCTTCAGGTCAATAAGTCGTTTAATAAGGTTGTGTTGTGGAACACTTGTTCGCACGTACGGCAAGAAAAGCCGGCTTAGTGCCGTAGCCGGATTTTTAGAATGTCTAAAATGTAGGTAGAAAATATAAACTTATGTGACTGCATTCACAAGACTTAGCGTTTGCCAACGATTTACACTGTTCAAGCAGACATCCGTATACAAACAACTAATTCCTGTAGTAACTACTAATTGTTTCATAACATAAGTTTGATATCATAAAAGACACCAAAACAGGTTAGTAAAATTTTGCTCTACGATCGTCGTGACAATTGCGGAAGCGACAACCGAGTAGCCCAAAAACCATACCGCACAGTCGGAGTATACATCGTGTTTGAGAACAAAAAATATATTTTATGGTCAAGTTCGACTGCAATGAGGAATGCAGCGACATTGTATCATGCATTTCTTTTACTGCAAAATATCTTTGTATACAAAAATTTGTATATTAAAATCCAATTAAATCTCCTTTTAGTGAGAGACTTTCAGATCGTTAACAATGGACCAACTGAACTGCAGTTAACGTGGACATCGCATATGACGCCCGATCCTACCAGGGAACTAAGGATCATGGTGAATGACGTTCTCAATCCTGACATCATAAGGCGCCTTGAAGAGACACCGGCCAGCTGCGCAATAGGCGACTTGGAGCCAAACACGGAGTATACGATAGAGGTAAAGAACTGTCCATTGGCAGCAACGGATGCGAAACAGTGTTTGCAGGCCTCTGAATCAAAGAAGACTTTCACAAATCCCAAAGGTAGGCAGTCCATTAATATGCCCAACTGCATCTTGGCATTTAGTTCAGATCGATAGATTGTCAAATGTTATAAGCAACTGAGCAGTTTAAACAGGAAGATATGTGATCAAATTTACTTAGTATTTTTTAGGTTTAACGTGATGAATCACCAAATGTGTCTGTTAAAGAGCGGAGATTGCTAACCAGGTCAATTAATTTGTTTGCTCACCATCCACTTCTTAATCACATGCAGAATATTTCACAAAATATAGTTGCGGAGAATTCGCAGAAAATACCCGTTGATAGAATTGGAGTCTAATCTGACCTGTTTTAATTTCAGCGCCTGACACATTTACAGCCAAAGCAGTTAGCAATGACTCCATTGAAGTCTCGTGGGAAACTCCCAATCAGAATTATGAAGGTCTGTTGGTGTATGCAGTGGTGTGGAATGGTAATTTTGTGCAGCACGCGTCTGTCGAGGCTAATGCGGCGAGGATCACCGTTATTGTGAACCATTTGAATCCGACGACGTTGTACAACGTGACCGTGGTGATTTCGAATGAACGGACGAATTTATCTGACACTTGTCGGCAGGTGTCCGAGGTTGAGACGCCACCAATCTGTGAGTTTACATCCTGTGTGAATAAAACTACCTGTCAGTTGCCTATGGTCTACAAACTATATTTTTAATGGTCGGACCGCTAATATATATGAATTGTTTTTATGAGGAAAGTTTGTCATGAATCAATATCACACAATGATGCTTTGGTGTCGTCTGCCAGTGTAACATCGCGCTGGCGGCAAATGTTATTTGGAATCTGAATGCAGTAGTCTAAGCTGTAAAATGGCGTATTAACTATCCTCACGCCAATAAGTCAAATAATAGTTTTTGTGTAGTGGAACCTTTTTTGGACATTGAGCAATTATTGCGGGCTCACTGTCTTAGCCATCTCCTTGGACTGGCCAAAAGTGTGTACAGGATATGAACTAATGTGACCGCACATTTAAAGGGCACCTTGATTGCAGGAGATGTACAATGTTCAAGCCGACCTCGTGGCAAATTTTGTATTTTTGCCGCATAACCATCAACTAATTCCTGTAGTTACGCTTGATTGTTTCACTAACGAAGTGTGACATCATTCAGGGCGCCAACCGGGGTTTATGAAAATGTTCTATACTATCTCCGAGACAAATGAATGAGCAATTACCGAGTTGCTCACAGATCATACCACACAGTTTTTATCTACACTGATGTTTAGAACCGCAGTTATAACTGAATGTGATGTGGAAGCTAGATGACACGTTTGATCAACTGGATGCTTGCAAGAACAGAAAAAATGACCTCTTTTCGTGAACTGGGTGCGCTTGTTCATGAATAATTTAATTGAATCTTCTAGCTACTTAGTACATGCATGTGCATAATTTTGATTGTTTTTTGGAATGAAGCGACATTGTCCCATGCATTTCTAATATTATGAATTAACATGATATCGAACAGATTGTATAGTAACGTTCACCTGATTCTCTTTTTAGTGAGGGAATTTCAGTTCGTTAACATCGGACCAACTGAACTGAAGTTGATTTGGACATCGCATTTATTACCCGATCCTGACAGGGAACTAAGGGTCATGGTGAATGACGTTCTCAATCCTGACTGCAGACAGCCCCTTGATAAGACACCGGCCGAGTGCATATTAAGCAGCCTGGTGCCAAACACGGAGTATGCGCTAGAAGTGAAGAACTGTCCTTTGGAGGTAAAGGATGCGAAGCAGTGTGTTCAGGCCTCTGAATCGAAGACGTCTTTCACAAATCCCAAAGGTCGGCATTCCTTTGTTATACTTAACGTCATCTTGGCATTTATTTCGGATTAATAGATTGTCAGATGTTATAGGCGAGTGTGTATTTTAGGCAGGAATATATTAGATGCATTGTAGTAAATGTTGTTTTAGATTTAACGTGAGAAAACACCGTACGTGTCTATGAGATATCGGAGATTGCTCACCAGGACAATTTGTTTGCTTGCTATTCAATGTTTAATCACATGCAAAATTTCTTACAATATATAACTTCGGGCAATTTTTAGGAAATGCCCGTTGATATAATTGAAGACGTACTTTACATGTTTTGATTTCAGCGCCTGACACATTTGAAATCGAATCCATCACCAGTGACTCCATTGAAGTCTCGTGTGAAACTCCCAATCAGAATTTGGAAGGGCTGTCGGTGTATGCAGTGGTTTGGAATGGTTATTCTGTGCAGCACGCGTCCATCAATGCCAATGAGCCGAAATCAACTGTTATTGTGAAAAATTTGAATGCGATGACGCTGTACAACGTGACTATTGTGACTGCGAATAAACGGTCGAATTTATATGACCAGTGTCTAAAGGTGTCCCAGCTTGAAACCTCACCAAACCGTAGGTTGACCTTTCCTGATCTTACCTATCTGATGTTTTCCTGTGTCCTTCATTTTTGCCTTGTTAACGCATCTATATTTAATTTGTCGCGGAGCCTATTGTCATCCAACACATTTTATGACAATCTTTATACAGCTGTGAAACGCAAGTTGGAGTTTTTGTTAAATGATACTAAATGTGCTGGCCGATCTTCCTTAGAATACTGAATTGGAACTCTCAGCAAGACTGCTTTCCGCATTTGTTATTGAATGATATTATAAGTTATTTCGGAATGCAAAATTTTCTTAATTGGTATTAATTGCAATAGGGCTTCCATAGCATATCGTCAAATTAACTTGGACATGTAATTTTATCCGTGAATAGAATACGGCGTGCGAATAGCACACGTAGCCTATAAATTGATTTCTTTTGTCGACTGATATTCGTGTCACTCTTTTACATTCTCTGTGGTGTAATTATTGATTAGTCATTTTTCGGTTAATTGTTGTTGCTGACAGATGATATGATGGCATATCGAACGAGCTTGGAACGACCTTTATATTTTCAAATATCCATCCCAGATTCTGCAGTTAGCAGGCAATATTTTGGCCTGACGCATTTCGAACTTTTCGTACGCAATATGAGGCGATCCGTATCATCAAACTGGCATGTAAGTGATGTGATGCTTACTGATTCACAGATGCGAGAAACTTTAGGTAGGAGGATTTTTGGCAATATTAATGTTACTACATCATGCTCACTGGAATCGCCTTACACTACGTCAATTCATGTGCCTGTTGTGTGATCTGCTGTAATTTGTAAAATGTCGGGAGTTCATGTGTTTGCGCATTCCTGCCATTCCTAAACGAGCTCGACGCCAACAGAATAATCGCAACTGTCAGAGCATACTGTTGAGTGCTCACACTCCAATGCATACTAATGTAACCATAAGGATATAAATCCCAAATATCCCAATTAGTAGTAGTTGTAGAATCACATGTGTTGATGTTAGTAATAGCACTCTAAAGGGAAGTGCTTACAATGCTGATGCATGCTAATGTCTTTAAAAGTGAGTTCGCTTGACATTTAAATTATAATTGTGAATGGTCTATCAGACAGTCTGCTTATAGACCGTATTAAACGTATGTTAATGCAGTTTTTTGTTTTGAACACTCTAAACTACAGAACAGATATTTCGCCCATCGCTCACGTACCTTTTAAATAAAAGCAGTCGGCAGCATGCACTGTGTCCAGTTTCAGGATGTGCGCATTTACAACTTAATGGTGGAAATGTTGTTGGCTCTAAAGTGAGTTACGGAGCGTTGGACAGTTTTAGTATTTGCGCATTCCTTTATTTCTCCGATGAGTTCAGCCATGAATCAACACCAACTACACTGACATTACAGTCGCAAGCTCAAGATTATTCAGTTTAATGCACACATTGACAGGTTTACTGATTTGGTTGGCATTAACCGAAATTTGATCTGCAGCAGCAGCAGCAGCAGCCCAGAAGCTGCAGTATTATGAATAGGAAGAAATTGGCATGCGTTGTTGGTAGTAGTTGTGTTCTGTAATGAAATTCCTGCGATGCCAGTATGGACAAATGTCTATGCCAGTGATTTTCGAAGACCTTTTATCTTCAAGTCCAGACAATCTGCTTATGGTCAGTGTGTATCGTAAATGAGGAAATTTTTGACACAAATATGGCACCCGGATTGACAACTTGTATGAAAGATACAATGACGAGTGATTCTTAAATCGATACGTCGACAATTGTACATGCGTCTGATCTGCGTGGTCTGTCAGACGTCGTGAGCTTTTGCGCTTTTCGTATTGCTTCATTTCCTAGACGATGTCAGCGAGGAGTGGTCACCAAGCACGCCAACAGTTAATCACATTTGTCTGGTGGTTTTACCGAGAACGGTTTCGGGTGAAATCAAAATGCAAGCACGTTTACGAGTAAAATTAACAGCTGCATCAGTGGACGTGGGGACATAAACGACTGCATCAGTCATAGAAGTGAATATAATGAGCTAGGTAGTACTTATAACGGTATTGTCAAAAGTGCTGGTATTCGCAGTTGTTGTAGTAATACTGCGTTCCGTAAAATACTTCACAGTCAGCAGTGCATTAATGACAGAGACGAGGTAGAATTCAGTGGCCATTTCTGTGTCACCATCCATCATCAGCCAACTAAGCCCAATCGCATTTTGCAGCTCTTGAGGTTGGAATACGTATTTTTGCTTTTAAACTTCTCACGCCCTAACCACTGAACCACGGCTAATTGTCCTGTCGGTTGTAATCAGTAGAGGGGTGCTGGCCGATCGTGTAAGGGGGTACACACTTCGGATGATGCCCTGGGGCTCGTAGTGGAGCCTACACTACTAGCGGCTATGTGGCTGCATGCAATGCACTATATTGAACCCCTAAGTACAACGAGGGTGATAATGTCTACCCAACATTTACAGTGTTTATCTGCAATAGAAGTGAAAGCTGTGGAATTTGAGCTGTTTGGTATTAGTTGCCGCACGGGCATTATTTTGTGGACAACATATAGTAACTTAGGAAAACGTTTCTTCCCTCCTCGTCGTCCTCCTCCTCCTCCTCCTCCTCCTCCTTCTCCTCCTCCTCTTTTTCGTCCTCATCCTCTTCTTCTTTTTCTTCCTCCTCCTCCTCCTCCACGTCTTTATCCCTCAACCACGCGACTTTAGTCGCTCTATAATCACGATCTAAATTAGGTGCACTCTAGTACCGCAAGACAATATACCTGTTTATGCTGATTTAATGGTGCTTTTCTCATTATGACCATTTTGCACGTATCTTGCGCTACAAAGTCAAGCGCGTAATGTTGCATTGCAGTTGTTCGAAATCCCAACTTACACTGCACTTATTCAGGTCAAATTCTATATGAATCCTGAGTCAGAGCAATTTCGGAGTTTTAACCGCCTGAACACTGAGCAGCTGTAGAATGGACTCAGTTACTGATGGGAAACCCGGTGCTATGTCATCTTGTTTAGCCGTCGTTGAGATTTATGACCTGGGGCATTTTTGAGACTTTCGTCGTGTTTCATTTCCAGGACGAGGCCAATGAGGCATTGAGAGGAACTGCGCCAATACAAGAGTCGCATTTGCCGAGTAGTTCATGTGAGATCACTAAAAGAAAGTTATTTCATTCCGCGAGTGCAGGCGGCAGCAGCAGCAACAACAACAGAAGCATCATTTGTTGTGTTCTAGTTGGTCTTATTGGTAGAAGATTTCGCGTAAAATGCTTCCGAATCTGGCAGTCATTAGAAGACTGCTTCATCAAATGCGGTCGCGCATTGCGGAATTTGAGCAAGTTGGTAGAAATTTAAACTGGAAGCCCACCATCTATTACCGTCAGGCCCCAGCGTGGTTGCTTGTGACAATAAGTAGAACCAGTGATTTTGTGTGTGTGTGCTTTGGCTTGTTCGATTTGCTCCGCGAAGATAATATCATCGTTGCGCATGGGGAACAATAATATGCATTAAGAGTTCACGCAGGATAAAATTAGGAATGGTTGTGGTAAGGGAGGTGCAGTTGTCGGGTAGATGGTGGGATGATATTGAAAACAAAAGTTAGTCGGTTGAACAGTTCTCCTTCCCATTCATCCTCCCTAGTAGTTCCATTTTCCTCCACTTCCTAATACGTTCGGTCCCACCACGACAAGTTAGTGACTCGATCGAATTGCATGTTATTCACGGGCTCTTATACAATACATTCAATGACTGCGCATGCTCAGGTAAGGTGTTGCCATTATGGGAATGACCATTAAATGATGTGTCAATAGCGTTATCTTCAAAGGAATATCGCTGCAGTTCTTTGGTCCAAAATTCTTAAGAAATTATTAATTTGAAGGCATGAATTCCGCAAAATACTTCGGCAGGAACAATAAAGTAATATTAATTGAGCCAAACGCTGCTGATAAACGGAGGCTGGGACAGTTGCTCCTCCTCCTTCATCTCCTGCATGCCGATTTGCTCTCAAGAAAACCACGCGTAACTGGTTACTCAACACATTCCAAAGTGCATTCAATGACATTGGAGACTGGAATGGTTATTTCCGGCTTATTAGCCGTCATCGGCCAATTATACTCAACCTCGAGGTGTGGAACACCTGGGGCTCGGACTCGCGGCCTGTTGGTTAGAAGTCCACCGTCTCTAACCACTGAACTACGGGGTAGAGTCATTGTACTTCTAACCGACATGCCGCTTTTTCAAGCCCCAAGTGGTCTAGACTTCGGGGTTGTGTATGACTGGCTGACGAAGACTACTAAGCCAGAAATTGCCACTCCAGTCTCCTTTGTCCTTGTGGGTATTAACATGCTGTCTATATCATGCGCCGCTGGCGACTGTTTGTTATATTCGAGGGAGGATCCTGGCGAACAGCGGAACGAATAAGTTCGATAAAAATGATCGGCGAGCGTCCCTCTACCACTTCTATGTGATCCTGTGTTGCGATATTAAAGGCAAATCAGGGAAATGTCATCAGGCATTTAGTTCGATGCAAGAAAGTTAATATGTTGCGGAGCCGATTCTTTACTTTGCGTTCGCGTTTGAAGGCTATTGGTTTATAAACCACTTGCGGTCTCACTTTTTAGGTAACTCTGTAAAATTATACTTCCATTTCCTAATATATTCATTTGTTCGCGGCATGTCCCATTTGTTTTTCGATGATTTCTCTCTTTTCGATTCAATTTGCTTTTTATTGAATGATTAGCAAGAATTTTTAGTTTTTATGTGGGTTTTATGCAGTTTTTCTTTCGTCATGTGCGTTCGTTTCTAAATAGATGCAATTGTTTTTTATGCATTTTTCATACGAATTAATTTTTTAGTTAAATTTGACAGTTTTTGCGTTCTGAAGACAGTTTTGCAGTTTTGTGCATTCCACTGTGACTGGCTGCTGACGAGCATTATAAGCGACCCGTTGATCGGCTCATCCTACATAGTGGTAGGATCTCCACACGTTGATTACAAATTGCGAGTAGGAGGTCATATTTCCTGTGTTTCTATATCTTCCACACATCAGTGCTTACGGTGTCTTATTTATTAGTATGTTTGTGCTTTTGCTTACCGTAATTCTCTTCTGTAAACGCAAATTGTATAATGAATTTGAACTGAGCTTTTTCATGTTCTTGTGAAAACATGATTATTCCCTAAAAATACATTCCCAGCCGGAACTTATACATCATTTGATGAGCTGCGTACGAAAGTTCAGGCGAGGTCGCTGCTCTGTTTCTCCTCCTGTCTGATTTTTATAGTGGCAACAGGAACGCCTACGGTTACTGTGGACGGTGGGAAGATCAATGATACACCTGACTTGACCAGTTGCATCTGTGTGTTATATGTACCTGAATCTTTCTTTCAGTAGTTTGTGTGGTTGATTATTGTAGGACATTTGCGTTCCAGCAGGAAGTCGCAAGTATTTATTTAGTGCACATACTGCGGCCTTTATTTGTTAGCCTGATAGTCTTTATCGCCCGAAAGCCATAATCCTGTTTACTTATTAAAAATCAACTTTTGGATTCTAGATCCGGATAAACCCAGTGGCGGCGAAATTGCTGGCATCGTCATTGCTATTCTGATTTGCCTCCTTCTCATCGCTTTAATCATCTTGCTTCTTTGCCGATGTCATAAACTGTGAGCGATTTATATATATTCTTAGCTGGTTGTGATCACTCATTATAAATTGAACTCCGGTAAATTATTATAAATGCAATATTTTAGGACCGGTGAAGATGACTTTATAAGTATTGGGTAAGCCGCTGTAGATATCTTCCAATGTGACGAGTATATTTTTCATGGTTAATTCGCATTACGTACAACTAATATCTTTTAGCCAATCGCGATCAGGATGAGAGAAAACCAAATTATTATAAGTAATTTCTTGGAGTCGTGTCATATCAACCCGACCTGTTGCAATTTGTTTTGTCTCATTGCACGTAATCAGTTATGCGCAATGCACTAATTTATGTCAAAGCCTAAACACGCGAGAAAGTTTACCACTCCTTGTTTGCATTTTTAAAAGTCTGGGTACATCTGAGGAGTTTAACTTTTTGTCCGAGTATTAATATTCGCAGTTGGCTTCTTTTTACATACTTCTAATTTACTTTTTCCAAATGTGCCTAGGTCCGAATATTCGGCATCAGAGGTATATTTCGTATTTTGTAATTCCTGTATTAATCTGCGCATACATAAGTGTGCAGATTTATAAAATCGAAAACGTGTTTAAACGTAATCGTTTTTTAACGATTGTTCAGGTATAAAAACACAAAGGTAGGTCCCTAGTAACTATAACGTGAAACAATTCTTAACCACTGAAATTGTGCATTGAACGTGTTTTATGTAAATGAATGCTATGAATCTTTTATTGAACGCAGAAATCTCCGCCGCCCCGGCAATAAATTTTGCGCATTATTGGGGATTTGATAATATATACGTAGAATAATAAATTTTTAATTTGGAGAGCGTAGGCTTCAAGGCAGTTTATTTCAATAATGCCATAAATAGAAATGGGCAGCACGCACCCTTACTGCGCACTGCGTTCGAAGTGCCTGGCATTTTGGATTTATCCTAACTGCTTGACCTTGAACATATGAAATTTGGCATACGGCTTCTTAATTAAATGGTGAACAGAGGGGGGGGGGGTTCAATACTAAGTTTCTCGTACACGGGTCGATTGCCTAATGGAGAATAAGTATCGTTGGAAGGGACGGACAAAGACCGAAGGCGAACGCCAGGCTGGGGGTCCGCACATGGTCAATAAATGTGTGGATCGGATCTCTTAAAACAAGTGCTGCGTTGATAGCTAGGCTCTCGCAGCCACGTTATTCCTTTGAGCTCACTCGAAATCCTTCGCAAACAGTCGCATGGTGACTGGTGGCATATGTTGACGGTTAAAAGGGCCAGAAAAGGCCATTTCTTCTCATTTGACTTTGACGGTCCCACGCCATCATCAAATGGCGATGACATATCATTATGGCCTGTAACAATTTATTTTACCTAATGGCACGTAATCTTTGAATTTACGTTACGCAAATTTATATTCAAAGAACACGCATAAGAGAGTTTGTCATTTCAGCGTTGAATTTTTTTAAAGAGTCTGGCTACAGCTGCGGCTGTTTGGCCTTTTGTTTTAAATATTAATGTGTCATATTTGGTTTTTTTCACATACATATATTCTTTTGCTTCAAATGGGCCCCAGTTCCGCATATTCGTTATGAGAATTATATTTCGTATATTTGATTGTTCTTTTAATTTATGTAAACATGAGAGTGAATGCTAAAGCAATCAAAAATTCCCTAAAGCAAAATCGTTTTTTGTTAGATTGTTCAGATATACTCACCTGTCTGGTTTTTTAACTTAAAACAAACTTTTTTAACTTAAAACAAACTCTCAATTCGCGCTCTTTTGGCTAACCAGACACCCGAAGCAAATGGAGTCAAAGTGCAGTTGAAATTGACGAGTTTGTTTTAGGTTTTTTTCCTGAGTTCAAAGGGGACTGACAGTGCCCAAGGGGCGCTACAATAAACCTATTCTATATAAAAACGCAAAGGTAAGTCACTATTAACTATGACGTGAAACAATGGCTTGCCAATTGAAATTGCACAGTCAGCGTATCTGAAGCCAATGTAACCTCTGATCTTTTAGAAAACGCAGAAAGCTCTCCGCTGCCACTGCGATAGAATTTGTGCATTATCTGTGATTTCGCATGGAAAATTTTAATATTTAAAGAGCGTGAGAGTAAGTGCAGTTTATTTCAACAATACCATAAATAAAAATGCGACGTACTCTCTCTTACTGCTCACTAGGTTCTAAGTGTATAACATTATAGATTTTACATCAGTGCATCGCCTTGGACATAGGAAATGTGGCATAGGGCTTCTGAATTAAAGTTTGAACAGGGAGATTCAATAATAAGTTTTTCGAACACAGACCGATTGCCTGATTTGCTACAAAAATAACCATAACTGAAACGGACGGACAAAGACAGAGAGAAGACGCCACTGCGGGGGCATACACATGGTTGGTAAATTTGTAGGTCCGATCCCTTAAAGCATGTGTTGCAGTGGTGACTTGGCTCTCGTCGACCTGTTATTCCTTGGAGCTCAGCCTAAACCCTTTGCAGACAGTCGCATGGTGGCTATTGGCATACGTTGACAGCCAAAAGTGTCAGCAAGGGCAATTCGGTCTCTCTTGTCTTTGACGGTGTCCTGTCATCATCCAATGGCATAACTGTCGGGATCCTTTGAAGCTTTATTTTCAAAGTCGCCCAAAGGTTGGGGCATCCAACAGTAGTTAAAGCAGATTTTAAATAGAGAACAAACTGACTCAGATTTGGTCAGTTGACTTCTTTTAGCCACCGCTCTCCTTATCGCCATAGTTGACATAGCACATACATACATATATTTCGGAAAATACTACGTCCTCAGGATTGGAAATAGAATACTGCAAATGTACATGCAATCGGACATATGTTAGCGTTTAGACAGAAAATTGCTCTTTGGACTTCCTGATGAGAAGCCACCTGTCTGTGCTCGGGCATCACGAGGCCTAAATCTGTCCGCATTACGCGTATTGGAAAACTATACGCTGCTTGAGATGCCTTTTAAAAGATTAGGTTTCCCAAACACGGATGCGTACGGTAAACGCGATGAAGGTCGTTCGCGTGCGCGTCTTCATTAGTCTGAAGTTGGGGCTTCAGAGGCCGGACCAATAGCAACTAACATACTCATTAGGAAAAACAGGCGGTACACGTACTGTAAAACTAAATGCAATTTCTGGAAATGTTAAGAAGGACGAAATAGTTCATATTTGACTACGCACAGTTTCCTTTTTCGATCTTAGTCATGGGTATGCCTAAAAACGCTAATTCTACGGTTCTGCTTAAGTCTCGAAAGATGCGATTTCCTTACCGACGCGAACGCAAGGCCACAAATCTAATAGCGAAATGCATCAGCAGTTCGACAGTCGTTTCAGACGATGATCACTGAGTGCTGCACAACAAGGTAAAACAGGGGCGGTTCCATATGCGTGAATTAGTTTATAGGGCTAGTAGAATTCTGCTGCATCTACTGCACCCTCCCCTACTCCACACTTGGACCGGGTGTCAAGATTGAGTCAAGAAGACTGGAGGGGGGAGGTTGCATTTGGAGGACAAGGTCAAGACCGCACTCTGGCCTTCCACTCCACATTGCCTAGTTCACACAAAAAAAGACCAGGTTTTTTATACCGAACAACAAACAAGGGGAAGTTGAAACAGCCGGGGCCTCACCTAGGCGTGTCTCCACATCCAACCCGGATCCCACGGAGTGGGTGTGCCATAAAGGCCACACTAAGAAGGAGCCATTTCAGCCTGAGTCTTAGACTACCAGGCGGCCACTCCAAATAATAACATCACTGGGCCAACTGCAGGACCCAAACTGTACCGTCAGTTGGCAACCTTCCAAGCCACGGCTTTCAGCGAACAGTGATATCTTCAAGTATCTCAATTTATTTAGTGGGCAAAGTGCGCTGAATCGCCGACTGTACTGTCCATTCCCATTCCCACATCCTAGCTTCTGTCAGAGCCGATCGATTGACAGGTGCGGGCAATGGACGCGGTGGCTGACATTGTGCGCGCCATATGCATGACCTGGCCCCTCAAACACAAACACCAGAATTTCACACAACGAGGATCGAGCGGCGTGCAGCTCCTATGTGTGAGTGCCGTAGGTCACGTTAGAAAGGATCGGTTCAGTCTGGCCTTCAGTCCACCAGTTCGCCACCCCACACATACACACATGTACACATCTAGGCAGAAAGAGGGGACAGATTTGGCGTGTCAGTTAGCCGCATCCGAGCCGCAGTGCTTGACGTGCAGTGATAGCTTCAGACTCCAGATTACACATGGTGCAGGGGCTGTGTAGAGACAGAGCCGATACGTACATTTCCCACTTGCGCGGGAGGTAAAAGTTGGAGGATTGTGGTGAATGATGGTGATGCAGGATACAGGTAGAGGTTGATTTGATGGTGAGGTTTAGTTGTTGGTCGTATACCGCAGATGTTCGCAAATGCGCATGTGGCCTAACATGCCCATGTGATGATGACTGTACGGGTGCAGTGAGGACAGTAGAGAAGGATGCAGCGAGTGTATGTGGGTGCCTCAAGCTGAAAATCGCCAGTCTCTGTGCGGTGGATTTGCAAGTTGCCGTCCAGGCCGATGTGTGAAGACAGGAACGTCGGCAGTGTCAGTGTCGAATTTCACGATGAGGGCGGTGGTGGTGTGGCTGATGTTGGACGCGCTGGGCGACAGTGTGCGCGTTGGATTAGGCATGGTGTATGTGAAAGATATGCTGAGTGTGGTGGAGGCGACGGTGTTGAGTGTGCTGGACGAAGGCGTGTACGTTGAGCTAGGCATGATGGATGGGCAGGAGGTGCTAGGAGTGTCGAGACGGCGGTCAATCTCCCTGTCAAGGGCACGCATTTGAGCGAATAGATCCACGCGGTGAGTGAACGTACGGTGGGCAGATGACTAAAATCAACATTTACTGTTGCGATCTAAATGATAGTCTGGAGTTTGTGAACCAGAAATATTTACTTTTGGTCGGGCGTTTGATAGCATGGGCATTACTTCAGGACATTAAAGGAATAAAACTGATGCCTGCATTGAAAAATCTCTAGGAAAGGAGGCAGTACAGTACGTTACATATCTTAGGAAACCAGGTGGCATAATCTGATGTGTAATTATACAACATCTTAAAAGTTGTGCATTTTCTTTGCTCAATAAGCCTATCTTAGAAAATGTGCTGATCGTGTCAGAAATTTTTCCACGTATTTTTTTAAGCAAAATGTTCATGAATCTGGGTGAAAAGGGACGTCGCGAAATACTTGATCAATTTTTTATGCCAATATCTATTCTGGACTGCGCTTGCATATCTGAGCGGGTTTTTCTTGCGAAATAGAATAAATCACACTAGAGAGTTTTAATAGACAAAGGTTGCCGGATTTGAAAATTAATATTTTTTCCGATGTTGACCAAGGTAATCAACCTCCTAACGCAAAGGGTATTTTAAGGGAACCAGATACTTATCGATTTTGCAAAGTCAGAATTGCAGATCTGTGCGATTTTGTGCCCTTAAGTTCCGTAATAACGCTCACAGCCATTCGTTTTAATGGGTTTTAATTATTTTGCCGTTTTGAAAATCATACGCTTTGTCAAAGGATCGACCACCAGACAACTGTCATTTTCAGCTTTGAACATGTGAGATAGTACATCTTATTCTTT